AGCCGGTGAGATTAGAACCGCCGAACTGCAGATAGCAGTCAGCTGAAGTGGCCTGCAGTACTGCACCCTAACCACTGCGCCACCTCGGCTCTATATGTTGTGTGTGGAATGAAAGTGGAGATCACCTTGCCCATTAATTTTAGAAATAAAATACCTGATATATCACAAATATATTAAGTTGATTGGTTATACCTTTTTCCCTTCAAGGCTCTCTGCTTGTATATTTTGTCACATTTTTATTGCTTTTAAAAGTCTGGATTACTGCAAATTTTTATTGATCTAGTTTGAAGACTTTATTGCTTGAAATGGGAAGGGTTTGGCATGGTTCAGAGGGAAATGAATTACTTAACTTCCTTCCTGAATCAACAAGTTTTATGGACAAAAAAAGTAGCCAAATTGATCATCTTAATTATGAATTAATTTACATGAATTATACATTATAACTTGCCTTTTCTATATTGTAAGTTTCGCTTTTTTCCCCTCCGCAGATTGATCTATTTCTTCTTGAGCATTCTCTTGAAGTAAAAATAATCGTTTATAGGTTGTGTAAGATTAATACCAAAGATTTCCTAGAAACATACACAGATGAATATCAAAGGGATTGGTCTGAGATCCTCCTTCTAACTGAAGATGACCGTCATTATCACATTCCTGTTGTTAAGATATGACTACTTGTCATATATTTCCACATCAAGTCCTTCTGCATAAATTTGTTCAAATGAATGGTATCCTGTATTTAAGAAATATCTTTGCTAAATAAAAATATGTATGAAACATTTGTTGGCCAGGTTATCTTTCAGTTAAATCTACTCCCAAATTTTTTATTTGTGAGGAATAAAATGATGAAATCATGTACCGTGTTTCCCTGAAAATAAGACAGGGTCTTATTTTCTTTTGACCCCTGAAATAACCACTTGGCCTTATTTTTGGGGAGGTCTTATTATTTTTCAGCTGCAGGAGGCAGTGAGCATGGTCACCTCATGGATGCTGCTGTGTTGCAATATTTGGGGGGAAGGGCTTATTTTCGGGGGAGGGCTTATTTCAGCGCATGCACTCAAAAGCCCAATCGGGCTTATTATCCGAGGAGGTCTTACTTTCCAGGAAACAGGATATTTCAAACTGAAGTTCTCACTACCAATATGCTGAAGACTCTAGTTTATGGTATAACCCGGTTATTATAATGCCAACTAACACAAGATTGTGTATTTGTGTTAAGATCCATTTGTATTAGAGATAAAAGTCCCACAATTTTTAACAATAATAATAATTCCTTGATCTCTGATAAGTAAGCTGCCATTCGAAGACAATAGTGACTGAAGGATCTTTAATAAAAAGAGCTTCCACCATCTCACACTTTATCTAAAGAATTCAGCAAACTATAATGCAAAATATGTACATGTATAATATAAATTGTAACACCGGAACACTGAAAAAGTCTATGGAGATTAAAGAGAAAGAGCTATATCTGCTTATATACAACACTAAGATAAAAGTTGGTTTGTTTCTTTTTTAGTTTATTGTGATAAATTACAAATTACAGTGAACAGAATAACAGATTACAGTAAATCTGAAACAAGCTGACCA